GCATCTGCCGTTCGCTGAGCGCTCCTGTTGTGCCAGGCGCTTTGCGAAGTATTTTCTGTACGTGATCTCATTTTATTCTCAAAACAACCCCGTGAGGCAATTATTATTATCCTGATTCTGACTGCAGTCCGTGAAGAAGCATTTAGTGTGTAAGCACAGAGATTGAGTGACTCACTGGGCAGTGGCTGCTTGTGTATAGCAAGGAGGTCTCTGATTCTATAGCCGCTGTATTTTCCAAGATCCTAGGGAGAGGGTGGCTGAGCTGGGACTAGGCTAGTGACAGATGCTAACTGGAGGGCGGAAGAGGCCAAGACCCCCTGCTGGTGGTGGTGGGGGATCACGAAGACCTTTGGGTGCCTTTACTGAGAGGTGATTGTGGGGCGCCCAGCTTTCTATGGAAGTCCAAGGCTGCCCTCTTCTGGTCAGCCACAGCTGGTGGCCACACAGCACATGGACTGAAGGCTTGGTGGTGAGCTGGGGCTGGGAGTACAAATCCACATCAAAGGGCTCCAGGGTCAAGGGCACAGGCCACGCCTTGCACGGGGCTCTGGTCCACCCACCTTCCCAAAGACCTTATGTCATCTCTCCTGACCCCATCCCTTGCCCTCTCTCTCTCTTTTTTTTTTTTTAATATATTTTATTGATTTTTTTACAGAGAGGAAGGGAGAGGGATAGAGAGTTAGAAACATCGATAAGAGAGAAACATCAATCAGCTGCCTCCTGCACACCTTCTACTGGGGATGTGCCCACAACCAAGGTACATGCCCTTGACTGGAATCGAACCTGGGACTTTTCAGTCTGCAGGCTGACGCTCTATCCACTGAGCCAAACCAGTTAGGGCCCTTGCCCTCTCTGGCTGTCTCCCTCGGCATGCTTCCATCTTAAAAAGCCTCTCCTGGACACATCGTTGCCCACACTCATCCCTTGCTCCTCCTTCAAGTCCAAAACGAGTTGTCTACACTTGTGTGTCTGCGCTTGTCACTTTTCTTAGCACCCACTCCTTATGCCATTGCTTCCGACATCCACTCTCACTACTCCAGGGAAACTCCTCTTGCCAACGTCCCCAGGATGCAGTGAGCGCTTTATTTTAAACCTTCATTTTGAATTATTCAAATAACATATGTATTCATACACACACGCACACACACACGCACACGCGCACACATAGGACATCAGCATTATGTCTCCAGAGTTAATGGCCATTATGAATTTGAGTTTGGTAGGTATATAGTATTTAAATGTGACCTATAGAAAATATACACAATATCTTGTGATTTTGCAATGAAATAGAAAAGATGGTCATGTATGTACTGTTCAGCAATAGCTTTCAACTCAGCAGGTCTTGAATATGGGTCCATGTTGATGCATTTAGACCTTGTTGGGGACACTCCTTGGTCCTCTAATTATTTGGCCTCTCAACAATATTCAATGCAGGGACTTTTTGTTTGTTTTTGGTAAGGACACTTAACATGAGACCTAGGATACTCTTAACGC